GAGCAGGGTGGGGGGTGGGAGGAGGGGGGGTGTAAGTGGGTCGAGAGCCAAGCCAGGGGTGGCGGCAGCTCGGGGGCTCAGCACCCCGTCTCTTTGCCCAGCCACCGCCTGCGAGCACCCTGCGGCAGCAACATCACCAAACAAAGCAGGGTGGAGGAAACGAACGGATATGGAGAAAAATCCCGGGCGCCGCCATCCGTGGGAGGCAAGCAGAGCGCCCCTTCGACGACGCCGCACGCCCCGGCCCCGCCCAGCCTCTGCCCCCGCCCCGTCACCGGCAGCGGCCCGCCCCGACGCGCCTACACCCCAACATCCCCCAAAACACTCCTCCCCCCACCTCTTGCCGTTGGTGTGCTCAATGTCGAGCCAGATGACGTCATAGGGTATGGCGTGGTCGTCAAAGCCCGCGTCCACCGCGTGCACGTCCGCCTCATCCTTGTAGTTCCACCTTTGGGTTGTCGTTGGGATAGGGGGCTTGGATTGTTGATTGTTTGTGGTGGCGGTTGGTAAACGCCTTGCGAGGGAGGCAGGGCCCGTCGGTGTGCTGGTGTGTGGGTGGGCTGTGCCCGGGGCCTCTCTTGTTGATGCGCGCGGCCCCCCCCGGCAAGGCTGGGGCGGCCCAAGCGGCGCGACGCGGCCTCGCCTGTGCGAGCGGGTCTGTCAGGCCCCTGGAAGACGCCACAACACCATCTCAGCCCCCACACTCGCCACACTGACGCACACACGCAGCACAACACACACTCACATGCTCAACACACACAACCCACGACTGACATCAACACACACACACACACTTGATTGACCACAAAACACTCTCATACATGGCTAAGATCACATATACACACGCATGCGCACCCCCCCCCACACACACACACATGCACGCGCGCGCGTTCGCACCTGCACTGGTGGTACCCAATGGCGAACATCTGGGGCATCGCCGTCGTCCCCGTCAGCTCCGCGTACTGCCGCGTGACGTCAGCGGGCGCCGGCCCCGGCAGCAGGAAGAGGTCCACCACGCCACCCTCGGCCACCCACTGGGTGGACGTGCCCGAGGAGGACGCCTCAACGTCCACAAACATCTCGGCCGCGTTGAGCCTGGTCGGTTTCGGTGCGTGTAGGTTGCGTGTTGTTACTTGTTTGGGGGAAGGGTAGGGGATATCGGGGGTTGAGCGGCGACGGGGCATTCTGGGGGCTGGACGGAGGGGGTGCCTCCAAAGCGTGTCGTGTTGCCGTGGTCGCGGAGCCGCGGCGCCCGGCCCAGCCAGAAACCCTCCCCTCCCCTCCGCCCCGACACTGGCCCGCACATGGGGCACAAGTCGGGGCGGCGCGCGCATCGGCTGCTGCCCCTGCTGCCTTTAACACAGGGATAGCCCCCATCACAGAATGGCCCCCTGCAGCGAGCCCCCCACTGGAACCGTGCAGCCCCACCTCCCCGCCTCCCTGCCTCCCCTCAAAACCCCTCCCCTGTACCCCGCCGCGCCGCGGCCCCTCCCCCAAGCCCGCCCTCTGACCAGAAGGCTCCGACGGTGAGCCCGGCCTGGTGTGCCAGCATGAAGGGGATGGCGCCGTACAGGCCGAATGGTGAGTGATCCAGGTACTCAAAAACATCAAGGTTGTACAGCCTGGGGGGGGGGGTGATGGGGTTGGGGGTTGGAGGTATTCAGAGGAGGAGTATGGGTGTGTGAGCGCGAGCGCTCGGGCCGGGGTCGCGGGGCAGGTGACTGTGAATTGTGTGTGGAGGTATGGGTGTAGTTTGCAGGTACAAAGTTGTGCACATGCAAGTGCGGTCGTGTGCACGCACGTGTGTGCGCGCGTACAACTCTGTGTGTGTGTGCTTGCGAGTGTGTTTTTGAGATGGGTGATACATGATTTCGTGTCCGCGCATGCATCCAAACAGCTCAAAGCTCTTCTCGTGCGACTGCATCCAATTGCATCGGCTTGTTCCGCAACCCCTCAACCCCCCCAAATCCCTCCGCATCGCCATCCCCGACCCAATTCAAATCCAACTGGACACGCGGACCACACCTGTACGGCTCCGAAGTGACGCCGCTGCCCGCCGTCGGCGCCAGAGCGAGGTTCGTCGCGCGCTCGGGGATGCCATAAACGTGCTTCGCACCCGGAAACGCCAGGTCCAGGGAGATGGCCTCGGGGCCCTTTGGCTTCGAATCCGAGTGGCCCAGGAATGATTCCTCCCACCAACCAGCCGGGTCGCCGTCCTGTGTGTGTGTGTGTGTGTGTGTGTGTGTGTGTGTGTGTGTGTGTGTGTGTGTGTGTGTGTGTGTGTGTGTCGAGGCG